CACATGATTTGCGCGTTCACATGCACATGTTCAGTTTGAAGAATTCTTCACTTCCCAGGTTCTTCAGAGGAGTAACACAGCTGATTCGTGTGACAATCAGCTCTGCCGCACGAATCAGCTGAAAAGATAAAGATAGGAAAATAGTGCAAGTGGGCGGGTGGGCCCATCTGATTGTCGGGGTGAACCATTTTGCTCCAAGCTGATCATTGGAGCTCCTGGTCAAACCAGTAGTATCCCACCCCTGGTTAAATTGTATCTTGACAACTATGATGAGCAATTTCATCAAGTCCTAGTAGCTCTTCCAGAGTGTTTTACTTTATTTATTTGTTAAATTTTTGTGCCGCCCATCTCATTGATGTAGTGTCTTGCAATAAGATAAAAAGTAAAAAAAAAGTCCTACAAGACAATTAAAATTAGAAGAATTAAATAGAAAAGCTAAAAACCTAGTGTTGTCCCTTTCAGATTTAAAAACATCAATAAAGTGTAAATGCATTATCTGAATGTATGAACTCTATAACTGAGGAATTCTTAATTTAATTACTTTCAAATTTAAAATGCATTTGGTGACTCATCCATGGGCTTTGGGGGGAAAAAACAATCAGCTTTGATGTTAATCATCTGTAATATCTGCCAGTTCTGTGACTTACTGCACAAACGTAGTTCCAAAGTTGATTTGATTCACAATGATTTTGTTATTACAACAACATTATGGAGAGTTTCTAAAGATTACTACTCTTTTTCATCAATAATAGCACTTCATAGTCCAGTATATTTATTAGTGCATAGGATTGAGTGCCTCTTTGTCCACTCCTAATTAGAACTACTGTATGGACTCTGTTTACTTGTATTCTTTCTCTCGGGTTGGACTCCAAGTGCAGAGTGTTGGACCTGAGGAAGTGGATAGGGGTCCTTTGAGCTGTTACTGCAACTACTTGTTTATTATATCCTTGCCCCACCTGGTTGCTAAAGGTCTCCAGAAGAGTGACTTACAGGTGAGTCGAAGCAGTAATTAATACATCACTGCAAGAAGGGATATTCCCAGCACCATTTTAGGAATCCTTGGTCTGTTCCCTCCATAAGAAATCTTCACTAGATCCCATCTGTCTGGACAATTTCCATCCAGTTTCAGGGGACATGGAAGAAAAGTGGTTGTGCTGCAGTTTCAGAGGGTCCTGGATAAAACAGATTATCTGGACCCCCTTCAGTCAGGTTTCAGACCTGGTTATGGGACAGAGATGGCATTGGTCGCACTTGTAGATGATGTGTTTGGCGGGAACAGGTTTGGGGTAATGTATTCATCAGTAGTAGGATTCAATTTTTTTTACTACCAGTTCTGTGGGCATGGCTTGGTGAGCGTGGTATGGCTTGGTGGGCATGGTATGGCTTGGTGGACATGGCAAGGGAAGGGTACTGTAAAATTTCCATTCCCTCCCCACTCCAGGGAAAGGATACTGCAAAATCCCCATTTCCTCCCAATCAGCTGGGGCTTGGGAGGCAGAGAATAGATGGGGGCAAGGCCAGTCAGAGGTGGTATTTACCGGTTCTCTGAACTACTCAAAATTTCCGCTAACAGTTCTCCAGAACTGGCCAGTACCTGCTGAATACCACCTCTGGTATTCATCCTTGCTCTTTTTGACTTCTCAGCAGCTTTAAAGCCCTTTATGGCATGGGTTGAGGGTATCTGAGGAACCATCTCACCCCAATGGGATTAACCTTCCACACTCATGCCAGCAGAAAGGGTCTATTTCAAATTCCAAAGGCAAAGAATTTCAACTGGTGAGATCCAGGAGAACAGCCTTTTCTGATATGACTGACCAAATAAAAATCTGCATTCTCAAGGGGTCCATCATCTTGATTTTTAGCTTTCCTGCTCATTTTTTTTCTAATTTTAATTGTTTTCTTTTTTAAAACTTGTAATTTTATTACAAGTAAATACCCTGAGTCACTATAACAGTGAGATGGCAGCATAGAAATGTAATAAATAAAAAATAAAATAATTATATGATTGTATACTATGCACACATATTCATCTGTATATAAACTTACAGTATAAAGACTTTCCTCCCATAAAAATAGAGAAACAAAGCTATTACCTTGAAAAGTGGGGGAAAACAAAAAGGACTATATATTATGCTGGATACACTGAAATATATTGTTTGAGTGAAAAACAAACATGCTTCGATTTGTCTTCCACAAAGAAAATTCTACCTTAAAAAAATGTATTGCATAAAGCATGACAGAGAACACACATTACCTGAAATGCCACTATTATTATAATATTAAAATCTAATACAAACTAAACTCAAAGAAAGAAAAGAAAATAGAGCAGAGTAGAAATAAAGGAAAAAGAGAAAAAAGAAGAAAAAGAAAAATAAGAATATAATAAAGAAAAAGAAATATATAAAATGTGACTTGCAACCTTTATTTCAACGAGTATAAACCAATTTAGAAATTCTTCACCCTTTTTAAAATTACATTGATTTTTTTTCATCTCATAGCCCATCTTATCTGTAAATAAATCCATACAGCATCGTCCTTTCAGTCCTGATCTCTCTCACAAAGTTTATAAAGGGTTGCTAGAAGTAACAATACATCTTATTTTACCCTTGATCAAATATACCAATTTTATATTCCTTCCTTTTATTTCTAATAGTTGCTAGAAATAACAACATATCTTATTTTATCCTTAATCAAATATATCAATTTTATATTGCTTCCTTTCATTTCTAATAGTCCTAATTTTTAATTTATTCAAATATTGTTGCAAGATTGGATTTCCCTTTATTTCTTTGTTCCATTGCATAGTCTTCTTAACAAGCCCCTTTTGTAAATTCAAAACCAATTTCTATTATACATTATCTTGGACTGCGAGGTATAAATCTAGTTTTGATATCATCTCTATTTTGTCAGATTTTTGTTCTACAAGTTACTTTTCTTCAATAATATATTTTAAACATAGTTTATCCATGAAGCAGACACCATTACTCTCATTGTTGATATTACAGGTACTATTTTCTGATTCCATTCTTCAAAAGTCTGTTTTGGTATTTTTATTGTCATTACATTTTGTACAGAGCTGCATATCTTTCTTCTACCTAAAATCTTTACTCTCCCTTAATGTTTTTCAAATCATAAAAATTCTTTATCTACGTCTTTTAAATATCTAAACAGAATTGATTTCCCATGACAAGTTGTTTGTACTTTGTAATTAATTCCATAATCTTATTCTAAAAAAAATCATTATTTCAATTTTATCTAGATCTTTAGTCTATATATTGCTTTATTGGAACAAAATATTTCCCTTTTTATTTCAGATTCTTTAAATTATTATACTTGTAAAGCAGTTGGATCTGCTTTTGTGGAGCTGTCTTCAGTTGACCGTCCATATTCCCACATATGCAATATCACTAATTTAAGTGAAAAAGGCAAGATAATTTTCTGAGCATTTTATGTCTGCTAAGATGATTTGAAGATCCACAAATATAAAAAATGAAAATCAAATCACATATTAATGCTGGTTCAACAAAGGTATGTCATGCATGCTTCAGTTTAACAATGGCATGGTTCTGCAAAGAAAATGATTTTTACAAAATAATTTGACAAACATATAACAAGCATACAGAAACTATTTTTTCCATTACCTCTGTACTCATCATAGCACAAAATATGGATTAGAGCTCTCACTATGAAGTGAGAATGAACCTTGTACCATCCATTAGAATTTTCATAGATCAAATCTGATCACATCATTTGAGTCAATGACAAGTCAGCCTTAAATTTCAAACTGTGTGTAATCTCTCTAACCGTAAACATTTGCCCACAATAGTTGAAGGCTGGATTGCAGCAATCTAATGAATCATTTTACAGCATAAAAATAAACATTATCACTTTGTAGTCACTCAAGCCAATGTCTTGCTAATCAAAACTCTGGATGAGCAAGCAAAACAAAATCCCATTGCAGATTTTCATGAAATTCAGTACCATTTGCTATTTGGTGGGTATGTGTGCATGTGTCATTATACCGTGGCTGTTAATAAGAGTCACTTGACAGTGAGATAGGCAGCATATAAATTTAATAAGTAAATAAATAGATTATGTCCCCTTGGGGCCCTTAGCTGCCCCAAGGTACACGTTTTTTAGCATGACTAACAGGAATTCTGCTCAATGCTACCATAGTATAAAATCCGAATATAGAATCTATAATAAGGCAATGGAAATCAATTCCCTAAACATGAAATGAAACAGTATTAAACTATCGCTTTTGTTCTCAAATATTAATATGTGCTGCTTTGGCAACTGTACGTTGGCAAGTTTTCAGAATAAATGCTGCCAGGCAGATGGTTAAATGACACACGGCTTAATAATGTGCCTATTTACTTGGAAGCAAATACATCAGATTTGGTGAGACTTGTGCTGCAAGACAGTGTGTTCTGGAGTATGTCGAATAGAAGGAGACTGAAAACAGGACATTTTATCAGCAGAATAATCTCCTTCTAGATAGGCACTAATATCACTGCATGTAATAACAAAGGTTTCCTTAAATCCTTACTCCAATTTCTCTGCTATTTCACAAACGTATCAACAGGAAATTAGACAAAATTAAAGAAACGGAAGCGTGCAGCTAGAAGGCAAATACCTGCTGAAACTCTGGTACTCATGAAATCCACTGCTATTTTTTTTCTACTTAAATCGACTGGATTGAGATGCTGCATTAACACTACCCCTGACTTAATCAAGTTTTATGGACTATATCATAGGTGATTGGGTTCATACAACTTACTAAAGCCGTAAACCGGGGTTTACAAACCCATCATAAGAGTCATACATTACCTTAAGCCCAAATCAAGGAAACTAGTGTGGTTTAGAACAATGTATGACTTATGCCATTATAACCACAGTTGTTCAGGCAACAATGGCAAAATGTGCCTTTTGTATTTGTATCCCAATATCACAGGCAATTACATAAGGAATTTAGTTTGCATTGTGATGTCATGCTTCTGTCATTCCCCTCCCNGTCTTCTTTCTGCCTCCCCTTTAAGTGTCACCTCAGCTTCTGCTTCTTCAAAATCTAACCCATCTTGGGGTAGCAATGAAGCTCTGGTACGTCTTCTTTCGGCCATCTCAATACCTCCCTCTTCAATTTCTGCCTTTTTTCTGAGTGCTTTCTGTTCTTCTTCAATCATCTTCTGTCTTGGAGACAATCCTTTTATTTCTCCTTCTGCTTCCTCAACCCACATCTCTCCTTTTGCCTTTTCCTTCTCTGCTAATTCTTCTAGTAGCACTGCCATAGATTCTAAGCCGGGTTCAATATAAAGCCCTTCTTTCTCCAAGTCCAATTTCTCTTCTAAAGCTGCCATTTGGGACTTTCGTCTCCCTTCTTTTCCTCTTTCTTCAGCTCCTCTTTCTACAGGTTGTACTATAGCCTTTTCTCGTTGGGCTGCTTGCTCAGTTGCCAAAATATCTTTTGCTCTTGCTTGTCTGTCTTTCTCTCTTTCAGAATATGATTTCCCTGCTAACTTGTCTTCCTCGGTTATTTCAATTTCATGGTCAAGGATGGCCTCTCCCACCAAAGGCTTTATTTTCTTGAGGGTTAAATCTTCTGTAGATATAGCTTTCATTCCAGTCACCTCTGGATATTCTTGGTATAAATCTTCACCCCATCTGGATGAAATGTCTTGGACTGTTTCTTCAATCTTAGATGGAACCTCTTTTCTACCAGTGATTGCCTTTTCTGCAGCAGCTGCTTTTTCATCTTCATAGAGAACATCTTTCATTTTTAATTGTGGTGGTCTAAGTTCGGCTTCCGTGGGTGAAATGTGCCTCAATTCATATTTTCCCTCCTCATCTTCCCTCAAAAATGCCTCATCTTTTCTTTCTTTTTCCATTATGTCTGCTTTTTCCCCGGCCTCTGCTTTATCTTTTTTTTCTTGAAAAATGACCTTTTCTTCAGGTTTAGCTTCTCCCATCTTTTCTGGTACCTCTCCCATATGGATCTTTTCTGCAAATGTTGCCTCCCAATCTTTAGCTGCATCATATTCTCCTTTCATCTTTTCTTTTGCTTCCAGCATGTCTCTGTCCACTGCCTTAATTCCTTCTAATTCTCTTGTCTTTAAAACTTTTGGTGCCTCAGTTACTTCTGGGCCTTCCGCTCCCTCGGGGATCTGCCATTGCAAATGTTCTTCTCTCTTTGCTGCTCTTAACTTCTCACTAATTTGGGCATCTTCAGCTTCTTCCTCTTCTGATCTAAATCCCCCTAGAATCTCCTCTCTGTCAGCAGCTTTATGTTCTATTTCCATTTCTCCTGGTTTTGCCATGCTCTTAATTTTTCCATCCTTGGGGGTTATTTCTTTTTCTAAACTGGCCAGTTCTGATTCTATGGGTTCTCTCCCCAATTCTCTTTTTTCTGCCACAAGTTCAGGTTTTAGTGCCTGGTCTCCTCTAAGACTTGGTCTTTGGGGGGCTAACAGTTCTTCTGTTAGAGCTGCTTCTTTGGGGATTTTGCCAACTGCAAGCTCCTCTTCCTCAAATATTCCTTTCTTGCCCATCATCTCTCTCTCTTTCAATTGCTCTGCAGCCTTTTGCGATTCAGTCCTTGATCGTTTTGCCAAGGAAACTCCATCCAGCACTATTAAAATAAGCACAGTATGAATTGTAATTGTGACAATTTTATCAGTGTGGGATTTTAAAAAAATACATTGACAGGTGCTTCACCTGCCCTTGTTGGCCCATCTATTTTGAATAGAGAGCCATCAGCAGCCTTTGCTTCTTGGATTAACCTGAGAGTAATTACAATATAATGGTAAACTGGACAAGTTAATTTTCTGGTACCACATTACTCTACATTAATTGAGAGAGAAGAGTGTTCTGGAAACTTGCTATTATATTGTCCATTATTAGTCTATCTTACAAACTGCCTGATATTCCTCCTGCACTACTAATTTTGCTACTTCTTTTACACAAAACATTTCCAGCAAAGCCTTTCTTTTCCTCTGCTAACTATTATAATGTATTGAAGAGTGGTCGTATTACTGAAGTTGGACTACAGAAATGATAAATCAATTAGAAGTTCTCCAGGGCAGAAAAGGTCTATAAAAAGAAAACAGTTCCAGAAAATTAATATTATAGGAATATAAAAGTTTTGCTCCCAAAATGGTGGCAGGTGATCTCTTTTCTCTTGCAGACAAACAGCTGATTATGCAGCCAAAGCTGCTCTCTAGATTTGAAAGGGAGCATTGGGAATGACCCAGGATGACCCTAAGATGATCAGCGAGATAACACACTCTCTGGTAGTGAAAGCTATTTGACTGATTTACATATTTTTATTAATTATGTTTTGGGGTGTTTTTTTTTTTTNTCATACAGAAGATAATTGTTTGGAAATTTAAGAGAGAGATAAGTACAGCCCCAGCAATTTTAAAAACAACAGTGCATTCTTAAGGCAGCAAAAGTGAGGATTTAATCGAGCCCATTAAAGAGGGACATATTCTTTCTCAACTTTAGTGAAGGGCAGGGCTGTTTTTAAATCTAAGAACAGTTCACATGCAAACAATAATTAACATGGCATTTACCATTCAATATTTCGTTTCTGATTAGTATATCTTGTGATTCAGAATCTGAAGTTAGGGAACTCTAGCACTTTTAGAAGCAAAATACTTGAGCCTTTCTTTTCCACTTTTATATCAGGAAGGAAAGATCTATGCTACTGATGATTGCAGTGGCTTCCTTGGCTTTCATTTGTTTCATATGCAGGTACATGCTCATTTTTTCCAAGGCACAATAAGAAGTGGCAAGTGACCTTTATTGGCAATGGGGCAAGCAAAAAGTGTAGCTCTGGCATCAGTCTCAAGTTAATGGTATATGGCCGGCAGCAGAGGGTGAGATTATAACTAGAAAATACTATAATGTGGTAGGTCGCTTTGGTATCCATTAACTGGACTGCTTTAGAAGAACGGAAATGTGATGATAGACCAGACGTGTGGTGGCCAAACGCAAAGGTTCTACATCTGGAGTACACCAGGCTGAAGAAAATACTTATGAGTTCAATTTTAAGTTGAGGGTTTAGAAAAAAGTGTTAATGGGGCCAGAAGGACATATTAAAGTGCCCTATTGATCAGCAGACCAAACTGCCAGTGTCAGGGAAATTGCACATAAGTGGCTGAGAATGACAAGGAAATAGCTCAGGACAACTTTAGCATTTGGGAAAATGTATCTTTCTCTCCCTCACTCTTTTCCACCAGATAGGAATGATTTAAGCAAGATCTGCATATGAAACTGAGGAGGAGGAAGAGGAAATCCAAGGTCTATCAGCTAGTATTGTTTATCTACAGACAAAGAGCTGCTTTCCTCTGGATGATTGATTGGGCAGCAATGTAATGCTTTTTGAAATGCTTAAACTGTATGTTGAGCTTTATTTTCAAATAAGCTCAAGTAGTACCAATCTAGGTAGACCATCAATGATCTTCTGCATCAAAGGAAGGCAAATCCAGATCAGCACCCAAAATCTTCTCACCACCTGGGACATCTAGTATGCAACCTATTGCTAAGTCAGATAACTGAACTAGCAATGCAGGAAAAAAAAACCAACTTTTACGTAAACACCAAATCTATAGCTCCAATAACAGTACTGAAAGCATTACTACAGTGGAATACAGTAATAAACCTTGTCCATAAGCTGCTATAAACCTATCAGGAAACATGGTTCCAAGGTGCTAAATCAATTAGTAAATAACTTATTTAAATAAGTCTAACCTACAATCATTTCTTTCTCAAAGAATTATATATTTATCCCCAGTGAATTACTAGATTAATTAATTCATATATGGTTGAGCATGGTTTATTGAAGAAATGTTCTTGACTGGGTTTATATATAAATGTACACTATACCCCACAGTTAACAGACCATAGTGGAGAGCTTCAGATAATATGCCAAATGAAAGCCACACCATATTAAGGGCCAGTGTTAAGCAGGCCTTAATACATTTAATTAATTCATGACACACTGGGGCCAGTGGCAAACAGTAGACACGATTTGACAAACCTACAATAATTTAAAAATTCCCTTTTAACCTCTATGAGTTGTTTTCATCTTCCTCAATCTGGGGTCCTCTACCAGAAGCTTGGGACTTTGAGAATTTTGCATAGTACCTTAGCTGTTCTTAGCACTGCATTCTTCTGGCAGAGATTCCTGATGTTCATGGAATCTGATGAAGCCATTCACGCTACTTAAGAGTCACAGCTCCAAGTCCTTTTACCACCACCCTGAGACCACTTTGATCTTTATTTTCCATATCCTCTCTGTTTTCTCCTTTCAGGCCCTGATATTTCTCTAATTTCTCATACTCCTTCCTGATGTTGCTGTCACTTAATACCACTACATCTATCACCACTGCTGTTTTATGGTCTGATATGCAGTATATTAGAGCCCTCAAACTCCCAGACCTCTAGTAGAGGACCTGAAATTGAAGAAGAAGACATACACTACTCATAGAAGTGAGAAGGGAATTTATATATTAGCACATGCTCACCTTCAGTCTAGGTGTCTTGTCTTCTCAGTCAGATCCAGTAGGATCTTGGTGACACTCTCTTTCATACTCCCGGGAGCTCCAAAGAATGGTATTTGTCATTGTGATCGTTTCATCTGTAGTCTCCTCTAATCCCATTTCGCAGTTTAGATTTCCATCTTTTTCATCTGAAGGGGTTTCTTCTGAAGGCTCCCCTGTTCCTTCTTCAAAAGGCTCCCCTATTCCTTCTTCCGAAGGCTCCCCTGTTTCTTCTTCCGAAGGCTCTCCTGTTCCTTCTTCTGAACGCTCTCCTGTTCCTTCTTCCGAACGCTCTCCTGTTCCTTCTTCCGAACGCTCTCCTGTTCCTTCTTCCGAACGATCT